TCCTTTTTCTTTAGAAAGCCACTGTCTACAAGGTTTAACATTTCGAGAAAAGATCCATTTTTCGTCGCCAGTGACTAGTCTATCCAAAAAAGGTGAAACAAGTTGGCAAGAATGGAGAGAAGAGCAGATGTCAACGCGGGATGTGAGGTTGTTTTCAGACAATTCATGAGGCATCCATTTTCCAAGATTAAGAACTTTTCCATGTTGTTGAAAATAACGATGAACAGTTGCCAATTCCTCAACTGATAAAGCAGGGCTGCTTCAAGAAGCTTTTTATCAACTCAACTGGACGTCAGGTTCGATCTTCATCTTCAAGGGTGACATCTCCACCTCTGGATTTTGCAAACCATCTCCTGCAACGTCCTTCATTCACACATTCCTCTCCATAAACTGAGTGAATGTTTGTAGCCGCTTCGTCTGCTGAGTTTCCTTTCTTGAACTCATGAAGCATTATGTGCCTCAAATGATTCTTGGGTAGTTCCATGCTAGCAGGGTTTTAATCAAACAAAATTTAATTTTATTGTTCTCTGAAATAAAATCTGATCAGTTTAAATGGATCTAAACATAGAAATAATGTTCAGCTCCATTAGACATTATAAAATCCTATTTAAATTTCGTTCATTTTAACAAAAAGTTAAAATTCGGACAGAGCATGGGATGAACTGATATTTTGTTCTACGAAGGTTGCTAGTTCAAATACAATTCCTTTGCTTCTCGAGGCACTTTACATACTGTCTAGTGGAGAAATGTTTCTAAAACTCAAGAGGTTTTTCAGCTGCATACTTTATTTACTACAATATGTGTGTGCGCTCATCTCCGTCATAATATGGACCGTAATAATCAACCTTGTAAGAGTCATCAATTTTTTCGAGACTATTATCATCAAGATTATTGTGGATTATTCCAGCGGAAATAAACACTTCAATGTCAAACAGTATGGTTATTCCTCCTCTAGATCTCTAGACTATGATTATTCAAAGAATGTTTGAAACACTTTATATAAAATACCTCGCAATTACTATAGCGTTAAATTCTTGAAGTTCTTCGGAAAAGTTTGATATTTGCTACAGACAATCTCCAGTTATGTAATTTTTGGAAATGTCTTCTCAATTATCAAACACTTCCTATCGGGTATATTGAAGAATGTCTTCATTCATGTCCAGTATTCTGAAGAATATGTTATCAAAGATTATGTTACCCAAGACTCTTACCTCTCGACTCTACAACGTTTATGCTTTATAATAATGATCTATCACGGGCGTTCTCATATTATTCGTAAATATATATGCAAACAATGCCAGAGTTCATATAGGTACTTCGCAAAATCTAGATGACCAAAGCATGGCAGAGGATTTCTCCCTTTACCGAGTTCAATGATTGACTTGCATGAATCATTTGATTATGACAAAATAGGTTCTAAACTTTCATCACTAACGATCAGATCAAAAGTTTACTGCTGTGAGGTAGCACACTCAATGAAGCCCATTGATATCTAATGCCTCTTTAAAATCACTTCAGAGCTCAAGTCAAATTCATATATTCGTACAATCCTAAAAAACAAAACCTGAAGAATTTTCGGTTTGTTGTACCTCTCGATAAAGTACAATAGTCTTTCTATCATGCTTTATTTTTTCAAATGATGAGACCAAAAATAGAGTATTGCAGTCCTATCTGATCTGGAGCTGCTAAAAACAAACTTTAGAACCTTGAAAGAGATTTCCACCCTGAAACCGTTTTCTAATGGAGGATTATAGCTCCTGGGTATTTAAAAGTTCACTGGTAACGTATCATGTTCAATCGCTTATCCTTCCAAATACGCTCTATCACACACACACACACACATACACACTTGCTCTCACACACACACATATATATATATATATATATATATATATATATATATATATATATTGAATGAAAATATTTTGTATGTTTTTCAAGAAGTAGTTGTATTGAGAGATTAAAAGGGATTAAAAAACTACAGATATATGTTAATCACTGAGACAAATAAAGATGATCAGAGCCTGATAGCTGATCATTCCCTTGATGTATTCCCCAAAGAGAATTGGGGAATAACTGCCTTGAGTATCTGTAAAACTTCGCTAGTAACATTGACATAAAACCGAGGAAACCGTAAATGTTTTCCACTCATGAAGAGCGCGTGTAGTCTGAATGAAGTTCTTTGCATTGAAATTATATTGGGACTCATGTACACTTCAAATTTCAAGTGAAACTTGAATATGCTTTTCATTATTACAGATACAGGAAAAATGTTCGATTCCTTAAACCGCTACATAAAACGCCTGATGCCCACATCCATGCTCCATCTTTGCAAGTTATATCAGAACAAGAATCGACAATTACTGCCCTACCTACGCTGGAGGTGCCTTATCCTCTATGTCTTGTGTTGACAAAGTTAAAAAATGTTTTATCGGCCTTTTTTATCATGTATTATTTAAACCCTACATTCCTTTGCACACAGACGAAAGTTTTCAAGTTTGCTTGTTATCTATAGCTATGTCTATGGCAAATGTCACGTTATATACATTAGTGCAAACGTTTCAGACTTTCATAGCTAGCAACAACCGTACCAAATATCCAACTTTGAATCTTTCCCATTCCCTTCGTATTTCGTTGTAAAAAAGGAATGTCCACGCAGCCGGAATCTTTCGCGAACCATTACATTGTAGAATATACCCAATGTTGTTGATTCCCCGATCATAACATTCTTTAACTTTTCAAGTCTAGGTCAGCTATTATCTAATCCATCTCTCTTATAATATGAACTTTACAAGCTCACCATGTACAGCTTTCCAACAACCTCATTCAGTAACCCTCTAATCCGTAGGAAATTTTATATTTTAAAACGTAATATAAAAATATATACCATACAATTTCATGCATTTTGTTTTACGGCATAAAACACAGAATGGGTCCATTTCATTATGCATATTTATCTATTTATTTGCAATATATTTTACATCAACAAATGACAAGGATTATAAACAGCAATGGAAAAATGTAAGACATGCATAACCACGATGGATAGTCCTTCGTTCGTTTTAACGGTGATGAAAAATTTAGGATGATGTCGAATTGCAATAACCACACCGGTGTGGACACTTTGTTATGACACGATATCCATATGCTACATTACATATATTTTCAAAATTTGAGCAGTACCATATATCTTTCTCGTGGCATTTGACTGTAATGAAAAAAAAAAGGAAATATTCAGGAGTTATCAAACAAATACATGAATTTATTAATTTCCTATGATCAATTTATTACTTATATATATATATATATATATATATATATATATATATATATATATATATATATATATATATATATTTCTTGAAGTGAATTAAATAAATGGGCAAATTAATATTGATGACGATTAAAAGACAAAAACAAACGCAAAATTAAATAACTGGAAATTATCAATACCACCACTTCCACTATTTACATTATTCTTCGGACTATTGTCCTCATCTTTGTCGCTATATTTATTGCAACGTTTCGGCTGTTTACGCTGTGGCCTTAATCAGGTTGTTGGAATGTCGAACTGAACCCTTTATTTCGCTCACCGTGGTAGACTGTTCTAGTTCCACGTGCCATGTTTAATGGATGTCTGTTATCTCCTGTTAATTTCCCTTAAAGTTTTCCACTACTATAGCCGGGTATTGAACTCACACTCTTTCAGTCTTGTCACTGGATCTTGCCAACGCCTTTATCCACTGTGCCATGTATGCTTGAGGACATCTGTGTATGAATTTCTGTTGGATCAGGTTGAGATCATAGACAAAGAACAACACTGGAAAATTCATAAACCTAAGGAATCAGCATATATGCTAGGTCACAAGAATCTCCTGAGCCGACCAAACATAGAAATGAATACAATATGGGATCCAGTAATAAGGAGTGCCAGAGAAAAGCGATAATAACCACAAAAACTGAAATATGAGCTCTGGTAAAAACATAATATGATAACAGCAAAAAAATGCAATATGAGAACTGGTAAAAATGGTTGCTGAAGACATTAGGTTTATAATACAAATGGCAAGGGAAACTTTAGCAGTCTACCCCAGTGAGAGAAATGAAGGGTTCAGTTCGACATTTCAAACCACCTGAAGAAACGATGTAATAAATATGGCGACAAAGATGAAGACAATAGTCCGAATAATGTAAATAGTGTACATAATACCTCATCTCAGAAATATAGACAGACCCTCACTTACCTATTGAAAAAAAAAACACTAACCTATATAGAGAAATTCATAAGGTAAATTGGCCTAGCTGGTAGTGTTGCTTTTCTGTTTAGACTGTGTGTATCCACATATTTTCTATCCCCGAGAGAAAGTTAAACATTTATACGTCTAAGATTCGTCCATGCATTCAATATTGCTGTCACATCTGATCAGATCTTTCTGCTATATATTTACATATTCTTGATGAATTACATACAAGAATGTATAATATTAATGACATCTCCGATTCAGTTACTTTCTCACCACCGCAACATAATTTCCCTATACATTTTCTATAAATAATTTAATAGTAATTGTTGATGAGCTCTCCTCTTTGTCACCTAGACATTATGAATGTAAGCGTTCTACTTGAGTGGCGGAATGGTCTCATTATTTTACATTTAAAATGGTTAGATTTAACCGTAAGTTCTATGCAAACAGTTTCTTCTCTAGCATTTCTCGCACGTAGAATTCTCTTCCAGCTTCCTGCATTCCACTCAATCTTAAACAAAAATTTAAATGCAATATCAAACGTTAATTTCAATCTTAATTCATGTTCTGTTATCAGCTTTCCTGAATAAAGATTTCTCTTTTTTCTGAATAAGGTTTTCTCTTTTTTTCTGAATAAGGTTTTCTCTTTTTCATATTCTCGCCCTTGCGTTTTAGTATATTTATTAACTTGCTTGTGGTGAAATCATTGACAAAAGTATTCATCCCAAATAAATATTGTTAAAGATATATGAATGTTTACATATGTATACATAGACAAACAAAAACCAAACAAATGGCCATAGATAGATAGATAGATAGATAGATAGATAGATAGATAGATTGTAAAATGATTGCAATAGTTAACTTACAATTTTGGCAAAGATTACCAGTAGACAACCCCAGACAAGAGCATTCGCAAGTATTACGATTCAATCTACCACCATGTTGGCACACTATGCCATTGCAGTCTGAAAAAAAGACATAATTATCCATGGATTACTTGTACAAGTTAGGGGCTTTATAGTCGGGAAGCGGAATCTTTATCGGTATGAAATAAACTGACGTTTGATAACAGAGGGCCTAGTAAAATAATTTACATAATGAAAAATTGATAAATTAATAAATTCAGATCTAAAATTTGATCCAAATCTATATTTACTCCACCCGTCTATTAAAAAATCTAAATGTAGCAGTCATTCAAAATCATGAAAATCTCGCCATTAGACATGCGGTCAACAACATCATTATTATTTTATAAAATTTCGGCAGGAAAAACGAATATACATAAGAATATTTCTAGGTTATGATTATTATTCGATCCAGCTAGCAATTCACACACACGCATATATATATATATATATATATATATATATATATATATATATATATATATATATATATATATGTATATATGCACGCTTGGACGATCAGGTCACTTTTTCGATTTACTATGGACATGACAGTAGCATTTCCACACTAGTTTGCCCTTACATTCTGAGTAAGCCTCGGTGAGAGCCATGCCTACATGACTCACTCTATTTTGTTATTTCACTTATTATTAATATAATTATTATTAATGAATCAAACGAAAATATTCATCAAATAGTAAGATTTGTATTTAAACTAAATATTCATAATTCTTTTTTTATAATATTCATAATAATACTCTCATATTTGATATTAACTTTTCAGATGATGCATACAACGACTTTTCCATGAAGTGGATCTCTTTGACTGCACTGGATAAAATAGAGAGTAACTTAAAATTCCCTTTTCTGAATAGTGGCGATTATTATAACAACTTCTCTTCCCGTAAATCTCATATATCTAAATCCTCGCATGACTATTGGATAAGGATAGTAATGCAGCTTCCAAAGTGCTCTAGTGTTTGGAGCCAGTATATGCAGTCGATTGTCCAGTTTAGATTCTTCAAGTGTTGTGATTCTTACTGACGAAGAAAGTTGTCATTCTTTTTTTTTTACTCAAGCCGTGGTAAACTTTTTGAAGATTGGGCTGACTGAAAATAAATTCATGCTCTCATCGAAGAAATAATAAGGCCAATTTTGGTTAAATATAGACGATTTAATGGAGGTTAATAAAGTAATTTACAATCGAATGTATTTGGCATTTATTAAAACTAAAAAAAATAGATAGCGGCGACTTGGAATATCGATCAATGCGTTAAGCAAGGTTCAATCAGAAATTCAAGTAAATATTAGGTCCTTTCCTCGTGCGGCTGTGCAACTATAAATGTGTCTGGCGACCCGTCTGTCTGGCACCCCATCCCGTCTCTGTTAGTCTCTATCCTCAAAATCGACCTGAAATTATACATAATTCTCTGCCCGCATAGCAAACTGTTCACACGCTAAAATCCAATTCGAGATCGCACCTGTCCACTTGACAAATATAACTGCCTGTGAAAATTAATAAGGATTAGAATAACACACCAATCCAGTCAAAATCGTGGCCTTGAAATTTAAAAACTACGATATTTGCCAATAACAAGTTACCTTGTTATATCATAGCTTATATAATTCACTCAAGAAGAGATCGACAGAAATGTTGATATTGACTACAGCAATTAAGAACTGCAGTTACGACATCAGGAGGATGTCATAATCATCTGCATCTTTCTGCATTTAAAAGGTAGAAACATACATGTGTAATAGATGAAGACTTCCTGGAATAAAAATCTAGATATCATTTATAAAATTAAATTAAATTATCTGGCAAATAAATGAAATAAAATAAGAACATTCATAAGATTAAATTTAGGAAACAACATACGTATAAAAAGTTGTAACATTTCTGTCTCAATCATAATACGAATCTTTCTTACAAACTAGAACTGTCCACTGCTCTCGAAAATAATTTCCAGTCAGTTGGTAACTTGGATGAGGTATGATATATACATTTGAAGTCAACCAAAATAAAACTGCTATATTTTAATCATCTTAGAGAAAAATTCTCCCAACTTGTGTGGCTGACGCTAACATAATTGGGGGCAAGTCAATGCGCCTTCTTAGGATCACGATCTCCAATGAGGTGGAACAATTATATTGAATCAATTGCTAGGTTTGCTGCTAAGAAGTTTGTTTCACTGTGTCGGTCCGGGTAGTTTTCACTCCAAAATTCATCTTGCACATTTATAAATCTGCCATTCGTCAGTGCATTGAATATATCTGGTTGGGGTTCTCGACAAAATATGAATAAATGTATGTAATGTTTTCTGTGCTGGCTTAGCATCTCGACGTTAATCTACTTACCAATACAGTGACGTTGCCTCCTTCTGTCTTTTTTCTGTCTTTTTTCTAAATATTTTAATGAGAGTTGTTCTAATGAGCTCTCCTCCTTGGCCCCTCGGCCGCATGAATTTAAGCAAACTATGAGATTGGCCATCATGAGATATGATATAATAGGCGATAGGTCTCATAGTTTTACTGTGGAAATATTTAGATGTAATCATTCTATATTTATAGTTTCTCTTCTCGCGCTTCTTACCTCTGGAACTCTCATCCAATTCTTTTTATCCCTGCTATTTAAAATCTACAAAGAATTAAATATGACCTTGATCCCAACCTTCTGATTTTCTTGAAACCGTTCTTTTATTGTGCTTTCCCATCATTTAAGTTACACCCTGTGGCATTACCTGTAAAAAGAAAATATCATTTCGCATCTAGTCGGTTTGGGTTTCAGCGTTTTTTTTTTATTTGAAGTTGGGTTGGTACCCACGTCCAGATCCTTCTATTTAACTAATAGTAATGTGGTGAAGAACAGATTCCATGCTTTTGCCAAGAAAGAAAAATAGTGCGAAAAAGAGTGGAAGTGACTAGATCTGATTTTGAAATTTCTCCTCGGACAAAGCTTACAACAAATACATACTTTAAAGAAACAATAGAAATCTATAAATATACGGCTGTAATTAATAACTCATCAAAATCGAATCGAAATGAAAATATTTATCTATGTTAACTGCAAGTCCATTAATCCTTGAATATGTCCTTAGTATGGACAAGTCCCCAGACAATATTTGTTTCTCCGCTATGTACTACTAAGGATAATTTTCTATTCTTCCTTTTATGTTATTAGCCCACATTCTACTCACTACTTTAAGTGGCTCTAAGAATTTTGGTGAACTTAAATAAAGAAGTAAAAGAGAAAGTAATCAACATCGATGTGAAGTAAAGAGAATAAAAAGTTAATATACTGACCGCAAAGATTTTGCTGACATTTATCTGGACAGCTCCCACATGTTGTACCTTTGGCGTATGGAGTTATGTAATTATATTGACTGTAAGTAACAAAATATTTTGATCAGCAGCATCAACATCAATATAATTATTATTACCGTCCACACATTGCAAGATTAAACAGTACTTTAAATAAGAACTTTTAAAAAATACCATAACAATTCAAGGAAATAGTCAATTTAAATGGAATTTAAGGAAAGTGACAATGTTATTAAACTTATCAGACGTTACGAAAAAAATTTGCATAAAATAAATAGACATCACTTGTCTATATTAATTAATAAAACGTGCATATATATATATATATATATATATATATATATATATATATATATATATATATATATATATATATCAGAAATGTTTGATATCGCATAATATGAATATAGCCTTAAATATAAAAAACCGAAGTTTTTAAAAGATCGTCTTCTAACCAACACTTATTCAGAAGATTACGTTGTACTTTCCTAAATAAACAAAATGAAATGGAAAAAAATTCGGAACCAACAATATACAGAATGGTTAAAGGATGAAACACGACTAAAATTCAACTTTATTAAAAAACGAGAAAAAATGGAATATGACAATAAACCAAAGTATATACGTTTCTAGTGAGCATAAAATATAAATAATAATAGTCACAGTCTTCCTAGCAGATAGAGTGAATGAACAAAATTCTCTTTCTGTCTACACAGAGACGGTCGATGTAACTTAATATACAATACCACCAATATACACAAGTGCTTGGCTGACCTTGCTCTGCATAAAATAGTAAATGCTGTATCGTATACTCGACTAAAGAGCTCGGATTATCTATCACATGCTTCCCTTTAGCTGAGTCGCAAATCGTTTGAGTCAAGCCTGTGCTGCTGCTTGCAAAACCTCGTCTAAAATTGACAGACGGGTGTCGTTCAATCCGTGACACAAGGAGTTGATTTGCTCGCCCTACATAGTCAGCCTCACATTGACATTTAAATTTATAAACAACAAATCTACTTTCACTGTAGGGCAAACTATCTTTAACAAATAAAGCGTACAAGGGAACAGTGTCAAAGACACGTAACTTAACAGCAGGAAAACATGATGCTACACGTCCCGACATCCTATTAGTAAGTGTCTGGCTACATCTGCACAAACACGGTACATTCAAATACACCAGTCAAGGACCAAAACTACTAGAGACCTAAAACCTCTAGCCTTTCGCTTGATCGTCCGTTTAACAACATTATCCCTTATACCGAAAAATACAATAAATGTTCTTCATTTTCTTGTCCAATCTATAAGGAGAGCATATAATCACGGCCACTTGTATATACTTTAACGCCCCTGTATATACTTGCTCTCCACTATGCAAATTTGTTTCATTTCTTTCTTTTTTTTAAGAAGATGCCAACGTATCACCTTCTGCAGTGTTGGTCGTAAAAGAATCGTTTTAAATAATGCGTTTTTGTCTATTTAAGGCAACACACACAGACACCTCCACCATATATATATATATAATATATATATATATATATATATATATATATATATATATATATATATATATATATATAAGTGAACATTGAATTCAACACTCAGAGGCAGAGGTTGTTTCATGCTAGACGCGATCGTTGGCGGCCTGACGATTGCGTCTATCATCAAAGGTCTGTCGCCTCTGCGTGTTGAGTTTAATGTTCACTTTTATATTTATATTCACATACGCTCTATCTCTGATATTCAGCACTTTATCTTAGGTATATGCATACCATATATGACTTACCCTCGCAAATAATGGCAAGTAACGATATATTTTAGCCTGTTGTTGGGACAATATGCACCTCCACATCCAATGCGTGCAGCTTTTCCTTGTACAACCTAGAAAATGTTTTAATCATCAGAGATTACATATATGTATATTTAATATACTTCATTTCATAGTCACATGTGTCGGGAATAGGCGGTGGACTAAGCTCGCATAATTTTATTATCAGATATAACTCTAGTTTTAAGTTATTATGATTAACTAATGCAATTATTCCAAACAACAGATCCCACCTAAGTCATTCAACTATCGCTAGCAAAATTAGTAGAAAGAAAAACAGCGTGGTGAGGTACAGGCTCATTGCAATTAAACACTTGCTTAATAATAAACGAATGAGTGACAAGTGTCAGTTGACCGTCATCCAGTCTCCGTAAATTAAAATGGCAATTTAGAAAATATTAGCTGGAAATAAATAGGCTAAATTTTACTGTCTTACGCTTATGCGAAACAAGGAAGATAAATAATGCTCACACTCTTCAATGTTACAGAATAAGAGGTACAGTTTATGCGAATGTGAGAGGAAGTTAACGATTAACCATTAAAAGAACAGTTTAAGTTTGCAGTGATTGAGCAAGCATCCTATTCGGACAAGGTTCTACAAAGCAACGCTTCGTGCGAATAGTGTATAGGATTGTAACTTGCAACTCAACCATGGAATGCGAAAGGAATAAAGTTAGCTGGTTAAAATGATAGGTCAAAGCCTGGGGAGCTAAGGAATATAGTTCGTTTGAAGTATTTCCAATTAGTGATATAGTGTCGAGAGGTTTGTGCGTTTCGTCTGTGAGAAAGGCGTTGTAGTGTGAAAATAATTCGTCACCCACAAGAACGCCGAGAAGCTTTTGTACTGGAGACTGGAAAGTAAATTCTGCGAAGCTCCTGTCCATAAATCGCAGCATTACAGCATTTTGGGCCTGATCTCTTCCTTGTAAATGTAACGATAGCAGGTGAGTGTGGGAGGCGTAGGCGAAAACAAAAATGATGTATTTTGGTTTCACATATCTTTCTTAAAGGAAAAAAAAGTAACAATTTGAATTTAATTTTCGACTTAATATATACACACTCATTATACATAAGGATGCGTAGAATAGGCATGAAACGTAACCTGATGTCCGATGTTGCATTTGCGTAGCTACGGGGAAATAACGTGGAGCTTTTTTACAACATTTCTTTCATCCTCTTTTTTCTTTTACTTTCCCTGTTCGTTAAGAATTTTTTTAAGAAAAGAGACATTATTACATCGAAATCATCTGCAGATTAATATTTAATCCTTTTTAAGATACACCATACATTTTATTACCAAATATTTGACAAATAAATTTACTTATTACTTTATCCAAACTTATATTTATAAATACAATTTGCATACTAAAATCTATATAAAAAACGATTTCCCTCACAATATATATATATATATATAAATATAAATATAATATATATATATATATATATATATATATAGATAGATAGATAGATTAAATCATTTCACCCCCCAAACAAGGTAATAAAGCGTAGTAATATGATATACAGTGTGAAAGTATAAAATAAAAATAAATAAGAAACGTCAAGAATAATAGAACAGAAATTAAGGCGACAGAAGATATCGATTAACATTCCATTTAAGTTGTTGAAGGTCAAACTTGACTGGAAGCCAAGAAGCCGACAAATAATTCACAGGCGGATTAATTTGAAGCCATTTTAACCATTTTCTCAAGAAATTACTTTTATATAGATGTTTGCTAAGATACTTTGTATTGGATGAAAGTATAGTTCTGCATATGACATTATTTTCAAATCAAAATGTGTCTAGAATTTAAAATAAGAAACAAAATTTAAGTAAATTATTTAAACAAAATATCTCCTCCCAGGAAATAATACTCTTTTTTGAATTAAAACATTTACCTGTGTGTAATGACCAACAACTGCTGCGGTTGACTGTCCAAATGTGAAATCCTTAACTTCTGCATGCCAGGCAATTGCGGGAACTGTAGCATTTGGTTTTACTGAGCTTGCAAACAAATTTTGCCCAACATTTATATAACCTAAAAAAAAAAGTAATTTTATATTTAAGATAACAGTAAACAAAACATTTATCACATATTTTATATAATTTTAATGTAAACAATTACAAATTTGTAAATATCTGTGTAGGCATTTTCAAATATTTGATATCTAGCGATAAATTTGGAATATCTGGTCAAACAATAAGCTAACTTACATAGTTAACCACATGTGTAACGAATAACATGAGTTGGGTGTAGGCAAAACCTACTTGCAAGCTGCTTTATTACTTCTTGACCTATAAAACATTAGATCGCTTATCAAACCTGATCATTAAAGAAGAAACTGTACACTCGCATTACACTTAAAAGCTTGTTGGAACTCAAATGTATGTATACGTCACAACATCTTTATCGCCGCAGGGCATTTGGAAAAATATGTACACATGTAATGCACCAACATCTACGTATCCCCAGAATCCACTGACATGCAGTAACAAGATGAATATCAAGTATATCAACCGAGGGATATATATATATATATATATATATATATATATATATATATATATATATATATATATATATATATATATATATATATAATTTAAATAAAACAGACCACTTTAAGGTTCCATGTAATAAATTATTTCACCACAGCCCTTTTACATTGAGCTCTCTGGATTTTATCCTCCTTAGGTTTACCCATACGGATTACCTAGTTTTTCCTAAACTATATATATATATATATATATATATATATATATATTTGTGGTTGATCCCGGGTTGAGGCAATCAGATGTTCCGCCACAAACATGAGTTTTGATACAGCGAAACTGTATAAATGTGAACAATGAAGTAAGCACTCGGAGGCTACACTGTGTAATGCTAGACACAATCATAAGGTCTGATGAATGCGTCTAGCATGAAACAGACTTTTGCCTCTACGTGTTGACTTCAATGTTCACATTTATATTTACATACTCTATTCTATACCTGATATTGATTGGAAATGATTCCAATAGACTCATTGAAGGAAACCATGGTAGCTCATGCGTAAAAGAAATACAAACAATTGTACTCACAAGTACAGCCCACAACTTACGAAGGCTTTTATCAATGTAAAATATGTGCGATTTTTCCTCAAACCTGCTCAGTGGGAAATGTGATGATTCCATATCTGACATTAGGTCTCTGGTCGGGACCCGGAATTAAATTAGTATACATCAGAAAACAAAAAAAATAAAACAACACCACCATCACCACCACCACCAACAACAACAACAACAATAATAATAATAATAATAATAATAATAATAATAATAATAATAATAAACTAAAGGAATGGGAGCCAATATAAGAAAGTTTCACTTTTGACACCGCACCCAACATCCGAAGACTGATGGTGATCATCTGAATGTGCCAAGATCCGTAAGAGCCAGCGGATTAGTTAAAGTAGAACTGTCTTATAAAACTACAACAATTGCCCAGGAAACCTGGAAACTACAGAAAACTGAATGATTATCTGTGTCACAAACAAGAAACTTTATTCAGTAATAAAGGAAGTCAATTAGTTTAAAAGGGAAATTCAAATGAATGAAGAATACTCTTTTCATATCAAACAAGCTGATGTGGACAAAACCCTTACAAAATCAATGGCTATATAGTGCAAGTTTAATAGCAGAGACCGAATTTTTTATTCTTGCTACACAGAAACACTGTTTACTAACTACTAATTTCCAAGCATACATTCTGAAATTGGTAATAAATGTCCAGAAACAACTGACTATCTTGCATCAGGTTGCTTAGTATTGACTCCCACTAAATATAAAACGCGGCATGACAAAATGGGCGAATATCTGCACTGGAAAATCTGCAATATTTACGGAAAGGAAACTGCAAGAATGTAGTATGGACACCACCCAGAACCGGTTACATAGATAGGATCTGTAACAAAACACAGAATAATCAACGTGAATTGCCCAGACATCATGATGAGAGACTGCAAAATCAAAATGTGCATTATTAACATGGCAGTCTCCTCGGACTGTAATGTATCCTCCTTGAAGATCTTCAAAAACTATCAAATACAAGGACCTTGAAATCGAAATTTCAAAAGTGTGGCAGATGAGGACATAAAAGATTCCAGTTATAATTGAAGCACTCGGAATGTTTGGAAAAGATTCTCATGGAATTGTCTCATGGAAAAGATTTCTGGTATCCCATACCTTAAAGAAAAAATTCTCACAAGTACAGCTCACACTTTATTTTATTTATGTGTAATTTTTTTTCAAAACTGCTCAGGGGAAATGTCATAATGCCATTTCTGACATTGAGTCTTTGGTCGGGACCCCGAAAATGAGTAAATGCCAGAAATCCAAGAAAATATAATAATAATAATAATAATAATAATAATAATAATAATAATAATAATAATAATAATAATAACAATAATAATAATAATAATTCTACTGCTACTGCTAATATTTGTAGTTTTTTTTTCTTTTTGATTTATTGCTTGATACAATCATTATTTCATTCTGCTGCGATCTTATATAAATTGTTTTTTACTTCAGAAATCATTGGATGAACAGTTCTCATCGCCACAATAATTAGCGTTTCTTATTGACTAGTTTATCGCGGAATATACACCATGTATTGCCCAATATATTTCTTTCATAAATCTCCTATAAAATAATAGAAATAGAGTCCTGATTAAAAGCGACATTCTTGATTTTTTTTTTCAAATGGAGCGATTATCGAAGGTTTCACTGAAATTATGTTATTATACGTTATGATCATACCGATACAATATAATTTCTGATATTAACGTCATTTATGACAATATCTTGTCAAGTCACTAATATAGTGAAGTCATTTTGCATGGAGACATTTCATCAAAACTTAACAAAAGCACGTTTTCAGAACGTTATTGGTATTTGGTTATACTCGTTATTTCTATTGGCTAAGTTATACTGCTATTAGTATATTTGTTGATATTTCATTTGCTTTCTTCCAAGTTCCAACCAGAGACCTAAGGACAGAAATGGAACTATGACATTTTCACTAAGTAGTTTTTATAAAAAAAGGTAAGTGAATGGCGCCTAAGAGCACACAGATTTTATATAGATAAGGCCCTGCGTAATGTTTGAGCTGTAGTTGTGAGTACATTCTTTTTATTTCTTTAGAATATGGATCACCTCATTGAATCCTTAGAAACATTTTACATTCAACACGTGGGCTTCAGTTACAACTGGAATTATTGATGTTCTCAAGTACTCCATTTTTTAGATGTTCACTTCAAACTACTACTAAGACTTATTCAGCCATATTAAGAACTGATCAAGATGTCTAGGTAATTTTCTTTGGTCTTTTTGTCTGTGTGTCTTGTAACGTCCCATAAAATTGTTACAGGTCCTATGTATTTAACCAATTCTGAGAGGTGTTCATCCGAGTTCCTTGCAGTTTCATTTCCGTGCAGATATTGGCCCACAATGTTATGCATAGTTTTATGTTCAGATAGTTCCAATACCTTGTTATTTGATAGAAGACTGTCAATTACTTGTAGATATTTATCAAAATCTACATTTCGGGTTAACACAATGTAGTTGACCAATATTGGTCCTCAATAGCAAGCATAAAAACTTTCGCTTTGTTCCGTTTTTCGATGCGGAAAGACAACATTGAAAGCCTGCCTTATTATAGGTATGTTCATTTTCTTAAGAACCGCTCCTGCAACTAATCAAAAACAATGAAGATTAATACACAAGTAATAATAAAGTTTTTCCTCGAGATCCAGGTATAAATATTTCCATTGTGGACAATGAAATATTTAATACTTACATAACTGTGTATATATGTTCATATGGACAAGTACACTGAATATCGAATCTCATCATGATCTATTTATCAGAAAGGTGACTTTTTGATGTCACCAGCCTGAGTGGGTGATAACAGCGTGCGATACTTTGGACAGTGTTTAAAAACTATATCACGAGGTGAAACAAACCTTTTGAGTAAAATTGAGTTGTCGGGAATATTTGGAATCGTCGATGTTTGGGCTAGCGCCAAGTCAAACGCCATTAAGGCCGCAGTTTTTAGCGTACAAGCCTTGTTCAGACAGTTTCTCCCTTTCACAGAAATTATCACTTAGTTAGAGTCGTTCGGTGTTGAATATATATATATATATATATATATATATATATTAATTCATTCATTGCATTATGAAAAATCGCCTTCCAAAAATGTGAAATTATTTTCCTTACCGTCAAAACGTCTTTCAGCAAACGTGTTATGCTCAAAAACACATTTTTTGGAGTGCTCTAACGCCATTTCTGCCATCTTATCATCCCAATACTAAAATGTAAATTAAAATGGCAAAAAATAAAAATTATCTGAAATTTATATTTCCCTATTCTCTTAGAATTGAGTACTGATATCACTGAAATTTAATCTCCTATTATTATGCAAGAAATAAATTAATATATCTGTTAAATCATATTTTGTTCGGAATAAAGGTGTTTGTTATTTTATGTATTTTAAATGATGTTTGAACAATTAAATGTGATCATGACATTATCTGAGTATCATTTACATATATATTCTATTGTCGTTAAATGTATAGCATTAGAATATAGACTTATTGGAGAAAAGGTTAATATATTTATTCAGTATGAAAATAGAAATATTCAAAATAAAAAAAAATCAATAGAAAAATAAGAAAAGAATATACGTTTGTTTAGAATATATTCTATTATAAACAAATTAACGATTTATAATGATTAGAAAGTGAACGTTATATAAATTCGCATTTTGAAATGATATAAATGCACTTAACACCAGGTTTTAATATTTCTCAAATTTATCACATATTTACTATGATAAAAAATTTTACATTGTTCAAAATATTCATGATTTCCTTTAGTATTAATCCCGTATTAATTATCTTAAGTATATGCATATTGATTTTAATAACATTTACTCATTTCAAATATAATTTTTTCAAAAATGATAATGTTATTGTAATTTAAAAAGGAAAATGTAATAGACTTCTGCGGTAAATAAAAAAAAACAAATATAAAATAAAATGTATGAAATAAAGACATAAATATAATACAGTTTACTTTGGCAATTTTCAGTATTATCTGTTGCATTTTAATTTATAATTGTAATATATAAAATATTTGCACATATAATGCTTCTCATAAAATAAAAATACTCAAAAGACGGGCGCTTTTAATGATCGGTAAATACATACAAATCGTAAATATTCCGAAAGATTCGGGTACGTCTTCTGAATTTGAAAATATACTTAATATGAAAATTTATATGGTGTGTATGAATCATATTATATCAAATTTGAAAATGTATAACATTTGACTATATTTGATAATAAAACTTTATAAGCTTGTGAATTAAGTTTTATATTGTGAAGATAATTTTCTTAGAACAAACTCATCCGGACGAAATAATGAAACCGGTACAAAATACTTATAGTGAATCATAATTATTATCTTATATTACTTAACATCCAGATATTAGTTGATAAAACATTTGCTTCAAAATTCTTACGCTATCAAAAGGAGGAAATAGTTAAGATTTAATATATACATAAACTAATAGCAAAAGAAATCTTCATTCTTAGAAAAATAGGGTTTACACTTATAATATGGTAATATTAATAGCAATATTAGTCATTGCATTAAACAGAAACATTCGTCACTCATCGACTAAGTAGCCTATCCTAATCTGGTTGAGATAAAAAAAACAGTTTTTTTCTCTTAAAACAGTTTTTTCAGGAAAGTATGTTTCTCGAGTCAATCGGTTATCGCGCTTTCTGATATTTATTGTTGCTTCTCATTTTAATTTGCATTCATTTACACAATTGGATTCATTTATAGTTATAATTATTGTAAAATATATATTTTACAATCTACAATTGACATATACAGGAATAAGCTATGGGAATTGTAATATTAGCTGATTTATTATAAGGAAACATTTGACCTTCATTAACCGGAAAGTCAGTGTTACAGTTTGCTGAAATATTTAATACTTTTTTCATGAAATACTTTTTTTTCAGGAAAATTGCTTTCTCATGCACAGTAATTGTATTGTCCCTTACCGTTTTGACGGGAGCTAAAGTTATACCCTTTCATTTGAAGTAGTGCAGTAAGCCAACACATTGATGATGACATTATTTACTCTTCGAAATACACGTGATATCAACTTTAGATGTTGAAAATGTGATCTCACTGTTATTTGTTTGCTCTTCTATAGTGCCAATTCATGATTTTCGATTATGCTTGCTCCACGTTTCATTCAATCGAAGTTATTTTTTATCATTGATCTAAGAGAGAATTTGTACACAACTGGCATGTTAAATATTTCGTAATGTGTTAGACTTAATACACGCTCTCCATATTAAAGTACTGATTTGGCGAGGCTATTTATGACCACGGAATATTATTCACAAAATAATTATGTTACTAAATATACAATTTTCAAAAATTATCTTGAGTGAAATATTGAACTAATTAACACTGTATAAAAATATATAAATACTAAAGAAATGGATAGTTCGTAATTACTAAAGAAATGGATAGTTCGTAATTACTAAAGAAATGGATAGTTCGTAATTACTAAAGAAATGGATAGTTCGTAATTAAATGTCCACTTTGTTTGTCTATTTTGGTTATTACGCCTTACTGGAACAATCTTTATTGCAGTGATTGTTTAGGAAAAAAATCAAAAACAAAAAACAACACGTGAGATTGATGAAGAGAATCACCAGATGAACTGAGAAATATGCTACGAGGTATGCGAAAAAAAAACTGACCATTTTTTCCATATTCGTGGCAGTTGGGTTGACCTTACTGCGAACCATGTTATGGTAGTTGAGTATTTGTTTCTGCATCTCTTCCGTGTAGGGAATCGGGCACATTTTGTCCATGTCACATTCCTAAGAGAATTAGAAAAAGCATTTATCAGAACGTGGCAATGGTCAATGCATTTGGAAATTGAATTAAAAAGAAACTACTGAAAAAGTAAAATAATTTTGGTCAAATTATTTTTACATGGAGTGAAAAAAGAAGTCGAAGGGAATATAAAAAAAGGAAATAGAGAATGGTCTAATTTGACAAGCTCAAACTTCAGCCCACAAAAATATGACCCCAAGAAATTATTGTAAAAGACTAAGAATAGCTTCAATCAAAAAAGGTATATACAAGCATGATTTGACAGGTCATGGCATACATACATACATACATACATACATACACATACATATATATATATATATATATATATATATATATATATATATATAAGTAAATAATGGCATGATTGCAAGGTCATGGCATTATATATGGTTTAGACGACAGCGGAAATTCCGGCTTAGTTAAACCTTTTTTTATGATTTCCTTTGCATAAATCATGGTAACTAGGTAGCCTACACCATAGTTGACAAGACTACTGTGCCTGAAAAGATGCGATACAATTGGTTAGGTGAATGTTTGTGATGAGAGGAAACATTTAAATAAGTTTTTTCATGTCGAAAAGATTTGGAGGATTAAAAAGTAGGTTTTATATTGGGGCTGATTTTAGAATGCGACAACATCCCTTTCGTCTGATAAAATGCAGGTAGAGTAATCAAATTTCAAATATGAAATATATGTAAACAATATTTCAATTATCATTTTTATGAGATTATATATTTATATAGAATCAAGTTTATGCTTGAACACGAATCAATGTACATGTAAAGAAATTCATTCATATTTATGTGTATATGTACATGGACATGCTTATATAATGGGACAGAAACTTCCCTACAAAAGATGTTGTTGTCAGCAAAATGTTATATTTTCAAAAGACAGTAAGTAAAGAATTTCGTCAACCGCAATATTCTACATTTGACAAACATAATTTAAAGTTCATATGACAATGTAGAGAAAAAGGAATATAGATGTTTTTTGTGGCAGTATGACCAGAGAATATTTTTAGCACACAATTATATTAATAAATATATCGTCATTTTTTTTTTCTTTTCCATGGACAATATGCAACGATTGATAATTGGAAATGCATGAGACATTTTGCAAAATCCCGGACTTTTCATTAAGAAATAGTGAGCTTTGCACAACATTTTCTGGTGAAATAAAAGTGAATTCAATTTGACTGAATATGCCCAAAATTAGCTTTCGTTTCGGACTCAGTCATTTCTGTGTAAGGATGATACAGACAGACAAGCGATCTCCCGCTCGCGCACGCACACACGCACACAAACACATAAATGAATATCGTAAAGCATTAAACTTCAAATGACCATATATTATAGCAAATTTAACAAATATATAATAATTTGAGGATCCAGAAAGAAAGCTAAACTTCTAACTAATTTGGCCACGAGCAAACTCTCTGTCCATATACATATACGATATAATTTTCAACTTCCAGTAACGAGAATCGAGTTCGATTCTCATCATAGTCGATTTGACAAAGGGAAAAATTCTAGATTACAGCGGTCTGGAGAAACAATCATATCGTGTGTCAGGCAATGCCAAAGGCTTTGAGAAATAATAGGGTCTACCAAAATCTTCCGAATCAATCGATTACTTTTGCTAGCATGAAATCTGAAGTTTGATCGTAATACATTTCGTTAGACTTTTGATCAGTCGAAAAGTTTTGATGAAGTAGTTTTGTATGTACGTATGTATTTAATTGTGAGAGTGTGTTCTTCTTCTTATATTATTATTACAACACAACCCGGAAGAAGTAGACAGTTTTATTTTATTTCTCGAGTAATAAGCGGAATATTTATGCTTGAAAACATTGCTGAGAAAAACATCTTGCGTGAAAGATTTCTGCCTATTGGAAGTTATGCGAAATACTGTCTTTTCGACCACGTCAAATTTCATATTGGAAAATATGCATCTAAGTCATGTTCTCAAGAAATCTACGTCTGTAGACATTTTTCATATCACAGAACATGTGTGTGCATTAATTCTACCGACAATTAGAAGAAGGTGTGAGTTGATGATGAATTTAAAGTCGATTAGAAACAGAAAATTATTCTCTAAAATATAATCAAACTATATCACAAACAAAGAAGCGTGTGTGCATAAGAAACGAGACTTCATGATAAAATAGGATACTTACATTTGTCGCAGAAACTAAACCAACGAAGGCTAGGAAAACGAAAGCTATCACCACTTTGGCCATTATTCACTTCTTAGTTTGATAAACTATCAAAAGCTTGGGAGTAGAAATGTTTGTAAAAAAATCAAGAATGTCCTTATATTTATACCATATTAAATGTTCGATAAATGTCTTAAAACAAAAGAATAAAATACAATCAAAATGAAGTGAAACAAAGTGAACAGAAGACGTAACATCCTTTCTTTATATGTTTTTATTTTATTCTCTTTAATTTGGGAATTGTTTTATTTCGTGCATAACAGGTCAAGAGTTCGATCAGGTTTATTTTTATTTTTATTACAAGTACGTAACAATAGAACACCTAAAAAGACAATTGTAGTTTGTTTCTTTTGAGGAAGCATTTGTTTGTTATGTGGATACGATCAGATGTAATACAATGTGGCTGCATTGTTTTATAAAAGAAAAGGACTTCACGTAAATAATGGAACAGGTGTCTTCACTATTTAGAACGATGAAAAACACGAGTAAACCAAAACAGAATAAATAAATATAATGAAAGAAAAAAAGAAACACTCGTTCGTATATACACTGAAACAGCGGGAGAGAACTTCGAAGAAAGTATATTGGTTTATATTAGAAAGGTCGACATTTGTTTTCGACCCAAATGTTTTTGGGCAATGAGCACATCTTTCAGTGCTATTTTTCACGCTGTATTTGAAAAGCAATAATATAATAGTTACTTGGTGTTAATATTAAATTCATCAAAGAAGTTACCGAAGTTTGTTTTTTTTTTCTTCCAAGTACTTTCATCTTCAGGGTTAAATTACAAAGACAAAAGCATTTTTAAATGAGATAAAATCTGCATTCCGTTGTGATGTAGATTTTTAAAAATACGCGCGAAAGCACTCAGTTATAATTCCTTTAAAATTTATTCGTTGTAGTTATGGATTTTTAGCAAAACAAACCTTTCAATAAAAATCAGTAAACCGTAAATTTGTAGTAATGTATACTGCCATTTCTTATATGGACTTTAATATGTTGTTGTTAATTAGTGTTTTTTGTTCATATTGAGGTAGACGGCCTCAAGTAATTGAAGTTTTTATTCATTGTATTCTTTATGTTGCTTATTTCACAAAACACTTGTTGACGGAGAAGATTTATGCCATATGATTAAGTTGGTTGTCATAAATATAATACAATATATAATTAGTTTTATTTTTTGCTGTGATGAGTAACGAATATTTTAGTACTTATGTGACACCATAATCTTGTTTATAGTTAGAATGTATTTGATCACATTATAGAAGGTTGATCTGCTCCAGGCTGTTTGTGGAAGTATTACATTGATTTAGGTTAATATTTCTAACAGTCCATCTAATTTGTTCATCGACTATGTAATTTGGAAAGTCATTATTAATGAGAGTTTGTTTAATTTTCTCTTAAATTAAGTTTAGCAAATTCTTTTGTAGAGGACTTAACGTTTGCACGGTGTATCAAATTTTATATAATAGCTTTTTGTAATAGTCAGGGTATTCACTGTTATAGTTTAAAGTGCAAGTTTTTATTCTATTTGTTTTTTGGGGGGATAGGTAAATAATGTATTATTATTAGTGTCTATCAATACAGCAAGGATTTTTTTATAAATGTTGAGTTCGTATGGGACATTAAGAACATACGCATTGTCACACACTGACATACACTGAATAAGATTTCTGGATCATATATGCACACCAAAACGCACATTTTAAATAAATTTTATATTAAAAAGAAGAGAAGAGATGTGCCGCGAACATTTTTGGTTGTAATGGGTTTTTTTAGAAAAAATATTATGCTTTATTTTCTATAATTTTACTACAGGTGTTTCTGGTCTCGTGACCGTCTTCAGGTAAAAGTGAAGATTTCCACATATTATTAAAAATAATTATTTCTTTCCCTATGTTTTTGAATGTTGAATATTCTCGATATGAGACATTCTCTGTTTTTGTGTTACTAATCCGAATGTCTTTCTTGAATTGGCAATGAAGAGTTCTGCGCGAAGGGTCATAAAACAATTAAGGTTGTCCAAGAGAAATGATGAATTACTTATTTTAATATACATACTTTTCTCTCGTTGGAACCACTATAACGTCTTTCATATATATATATATATATATATATATATATATATATACACACACACACACACACATATATATATATATATATATATATATATATATATATATATATATATATATATATAACGAAAAAGGTTATTTGTTAGGGTTGAATTGGACCAGCGAAGAGTAGTATTAAAAAAAGTGATAAATACGCATTTAAAAGATAATTAAAAAAATAGCATGTATAACTTTTAAATTCAGTTGATTTTGCTACCATGATTTCAACCATTCGGTATCCTCGAGTGGTTTTTATCAATTGAGCTTCCAATCCTGTAATTAAGAAAAAAAATGAACGCTTTAATTTTAATATTTTTAAAAATAAATAAACACACGCACGGCGTTGGATGTGATATAAAGAGAAGAGGAGGATGCGAAGAAGGAAAGAGAGGAATAAGAAAAGATGCCGAAGAAGAAAAGCACGGGTATTGTGAATATATGTTTGAGGTTTAATTGAAATGTACATTCTTTTTTAACCAGCCTCATATGAGCTTAAGAGGATTGTTTCATGTGAATGATACGGCTAATAGTTTCGGATATCTGGTTCAAAAGTAATTTTGGATCAGGGAATGTAACTATTACTATTTTTTCCTGTTGGAAGAGGTTGCAAATATTATTGTTTGTTATAATGCTTCGT